GTCATTTATATGAATACGACTTTATGGCATACGCATTTTAAAGAAAAACAGTGTTACAGCCGCGCTCGATGATCTGAAGTCCCAAACTGCAGTATGGGGATACACCTGGAGTTAACCTCAGGTTGACATGGATTTTTCMAGGGGTCAGGTGCCCCAAATGCTATTCATTCATATTTTTTAATTACACTCCTGGAAACCCTTCTAGTATATCGGYCACAATAAAGCCTTCATCATCGTAGAGTACGGTTGCCTCGTGTACCGGACCATAGATHACAAAATTCAATCTAAAGAAAGGGTAAACATAATTGAGCTCATTCTAAACCATATATATCCCAAAATAATATGAAACCTTACTAGAATACAAGAGAAAATAAACTAGAAGTAAAGAACCTAATTTTGACAATCGTCCAGGGTAAYATCAACACAAAAAACAGGCKCGTAGAGTCCTTTACTCATATACGCACGTGCGTACTTGTGGCATGTTACAAGGGGCAACATTTAATTTCACGTGCTTTAAAAAGAGGGGGGACAACGTCTAAAATTAACTAGAACCTTTATCGTTTTAAATTGGTAAATCATCCTCATTGTTCGTTTTGCCATTCAAACCTTGAAACAATGGAGCATTTATTCATTCAGTGTAGAGTTTCAAGGAATCTCTATTTTCAATTGCGTGATTGGTTACATCAACTCAACATTGAATTGCCAACATTAAACATCTACAATGTTATTTTAGGGGTTGATAATTGCCTAATAAATTTCATTATCCTTGTGTACAAATATGCACTTTTTAAATGTAGAGAAAAAGGGAAGATTTCACTTTCATTTGTTCAAAATCTTCTATTAAACTATGAAGCACTAGAGAAAATAGTATCATTCAATAAAAACAAAAATGAGGCCCATATCAAAAAATGGGGCCCGTTAAAAAACAGGATTTCCTCGGTTTAATTTATATCTAATACTTTATTGAGGATAAGACACGGCAGCTATTGTGTTGTCTTTTTTTTTGTTTTTTGTTTTGTATGTGTGTGTGTGTGTGCTATAGTAACACAATAAAGAAATGTAATATAAAATTGTAAATAAATGACCTTCGATGTAGATAGAGTAGAATTAATTTGTATAGCAGGTATTATTTCTTTACATTCCTCATTTGTATTTGTATTATTATTTGTTTCTGTTATTTATTACTATAATGAATCTAAAAAAAATTCTAGAGAAATATA